CTTATCTCTTGGTTGCCTCCCCGTCCTCTGTTTGATTTCTCAGGAATTCTATAACCTGGATAACCAATTCCGTGCATTAAGTTCTCTCTTTTGAAGATCTCAGATACAAGTATACTGCTTATACTGCTTTTTGCATGAAATAACAGGATATCTGTGCATAAACACCTGTTTATGACATAAAAGATCAGACAAGAATCATTAGCAGTAGTGGCTTTTGTAGAGGGGCTGTGGAGGTCTGATATGAAATGGACATGAGCCCTCCACAGTATATATGTAAATACTATTTTATTTTTTTAACCATATGCAGGCATTAATTTTTTAAAAAAGAAACCTAGTTAAGCTAATAAAAATAATTTTCAATTTATGTTGTGATAGTTTCAGAAGGCTTTCTCTCGAATGTCTATGTTTGAACCTATGATTTTTAGCTGTTGGCAGGGTGGAGGTTAGAGAATTTCTACCCCACAAAAGCTAAAATAAGCATATCACTCTCCAGTGCTTCCTATACTATCTTCTCACCACTAGTTAGCACACTCATTGTACAGAGGTCTGGTTTAAAATAACACTGGGTCAGGTCCTCTTACTGTAATCTAGTTCTTTCCAAGTAGCTCACAGTCCTGTTTATAATTACAAATTTGTGTGATTGTTTGATTAATGCCAGTTGCCAATGAAAGGTTTATTTTAGTGGATGGGTGACCATGCTAGAGCCACACACCATTGTGTAGGGACCCAGAACTAGCACCAACTGACCCCCTGGTCTGACACTTTCAACAGATCCTTAAGCAGGTGGTGACTTATTCAACCAGAAAGTGCTTCAGCTATGCAACCTTGCCTTTCTGTACATTATTTTTTTTAAAGAAAATATACAACCATTGCTGTACATAGCCTATCATACCTTAAAAGTCAAATTGTTTTGGTCTAGAATATTAATACAGTTAAAATTGTGTTTGTTCATGAAGAAACTGACAAACATTAATCTAATAAATGAAAATCAATAGGCTAGTTGCATGATATTTCCCCTCTTTTCCTTCTGTGCCTTCTCCTATGAAATCAGAAAATACTTCATTTTAACAGCAGTGTAATAACAAGGAATATGCTGTTGTTCTTCAAGTTAATAACCTTTCACACTCATAACCTCCGGATTTATATTTCCAATTTTTCAGGTGAGGAAGCTTAGGTGTCAGATGTTCTAGATACCTGATCAGCCGCTTCAGAGCCCACACCTTGCCCCCGCATGACCTACTGGTAAATTAATTCCTGTCCTGAGTTCCCATTATGATGATGCTTACAAATGCCCTTCTGTATCAGATGTGTTGCTGCTATAGAGATCAGGTGCTTTCTTGTGGGAGTTCCCAATTGTCAGGCATCTTTAAGCCTTAGGAGTGACTGGCATGGAGGCAAGTTCAATCAGACATATGGGTGGTGAACATGAGTTCGGGGAGAGGCCTGACTCAGAAGAATTCAGGGAAGAGAAGATGGGGATTATCTGATGAGGTGTCACCTGGAAAGTCAGCATCACTCAGAGTTGATGCCCAGAAACAGGGTTAAATGGATGAGACACCCTGTTTAATGTCACTGATGGCCTCTGTCAATGAGGGATCTATCACAGGGAGATGAATGCCATCTGCCAAGTTAGTGATCATACGTCCCCCCTCACTCCCTGTGGATTCAGTCTGGAGTCCCTGGGTCCATTCCCATTCACGCTTAAGATGAACTCTAGCTTCAGAGTGTTCAGGGGCTGCAGCCCACAGTAGTGGGTCACATGGGAAGACCCAGGGGGAATGGCCAGATTGCGCCAGGAACTGAAATGACCGATAACTCATAGTGTCTGTCTGTTTCCTGTCAGTGGATGATTAATAAACTGCCTACAGTCAGGCCTGAAATACAGAGTCAATACACAGTCTATTTTGTGACTCTAGATAAATGGTGTCCCAACTTTTCTCAAGATTACAGCTAATTACCCGTACACACACACACACACACACACACACACCAACCACCATTATTAATATTAGCATTTATCAAATAGCTATAGAGAGCCAGAAGGCTGAGCTAAGAGCTTCATTCCTGCCCTGAGGAGCTGAGAATCTAGACTTCATCTTGTGCTCATATAAATATCCCGAAAATAAGAAAAATAATAGCTAATAGTTAATGAGCACCCACTATGTGGTAGACATATTTTAAGTCCTTTATGTATTTTATCTAGTTTAATCCTCATAATAATCCTTATAATCCTCTGAGGTAGGTATAATTTTTATCTTTGTTATAAACATAAAGAAACTAAACATAAAGGCAAAAGGGTTAGATAAAACTTGCCTGAGGTCATAGAGCTAGGAAGTAGTGGATCTAGGATTCAAATCTATGTGGCTGGCTCCAAGATCAGTTTCTTAGGTACTCCCCTGGACCAGTGATGTTCAACCTTTTCTATCTCATGGCATATATAAACTAATTACTAAAATTCTGCAGCACACCAAAAAATATAATTTTTGTTGAGCTGACAGAAACACTAGGTATAATTTTGATTCATTCACACCAGACGGCTGTTATTGTGTTGGCTGTTGTCATATTTTTATTTGACAATCTAAGGGGAAAGAGGTCAGTGCCCCTGACTAAATAATCAGGTGTTGCATGTTTTAAAAATTCTTGTGGCACACAGGCTGAAAATAGCTGCCCTAGACAATCATAGATATAATTAAGTAAATATGTCCTATAGGCCAGTCACTGTGCTAAGTTACCATACATGCATTAATTTACTTAATGCTCATAATTAATGATTAACTTTCTTTATAAATGCTTTCATTTGTTCCCTCCCACATTTCTATAATGTCAGTATTATTTTTATCTAATGGATGAGGAAACTGAGGTTTAGAGATACATGAAACTTTTCTGGGGTTACTATTGCAAGATTCAATCCTTGATCAGTTTTCTCCAAGTTTGACTCCTATGTAATGGCATTATATTATAGATGATAAGGGGGCCACATGCTAAACTTGACATGCTCAGGAGGCCTGCATGGTGGGCCTTAAAAACTCAAGAGACTGAAATAACCACACAAGATGGCCTGAACATAAAACTTCTTAACCAAAAGTGGGTCCCAGGGGTAGTCCTAGGCCTGTAGCTTCCTTGACACAGGTCAGTCTTTACTTAAGTGAGCCTGTCTATTGTCTTTTGCATCTTAGATAACATACCTTTGAAATGCCAGAATAAACTGACTTTCCAGACCCCTCAGAGCACAACCATCAGAGCAGTAAACCACAGAAGTTCTTATTGTTACTTTGTCCCCTGTTTACCATCTCTATGTGCTGTGAATGTTTACTATCTTGTACCCACCATACGTAAAAGAAGTATGTGTCTCTGCTTTACTTTTCACCCAACCCTAGATATTTCCATGGGTTTCATGTAACCTCCTTACATCTCCTCCTTTGATTCTAATGCATAAAATTAGCTGCAATACTGCCATTCTCCGGAGCACTTTTTTCAAACCATTGAGACTTTGCTCTCTAGCCATTGTGGTCAGTTTGGCTCAAATAAACTCATAAAAATTCTCTACATGTTTGAATGTTTCTTACATTGACAATATTATAGTTCAAGAAAAAAGGCCTTCAAATGACAGCCTAGACAAACATTATCCTAATAAAAACAATAATACTGCCATTTACATAATGTTTCACTATTCACATTTGAAGTTACTCAAGTCTCACTTTAAGTCTAAGTGTAAGTAGGGCAGGTTGTAGATGTCAAAACTGAAGTTCAAAAGTTGAGGGACAAGTCTGGAGTCTTACAACTCTGTCCTCATTTATTTATTGACCTTCATTTACTCACTAGTTCACGTAAAAAGCAAGCAAACAAACAAAACCCCAGTGCACCTGGCCCCAGTGACTCAGTGATTGAGCGTCAACCTATGAACCAGGAGGTCCCGGGTTCGATTCCCAGTCAGGGCACATATCTGGGTTGCGGGCTTGATCCCCAGTGTGGGATGTACAGGAGGCAGCGGATCAATGATTCTCTCTCATGGTTGATGTCTCTATCTCTCTCTCCTTCTCCCTTCCTCTCTGTAATCAATAAATATATATATATATATATTTTTAAAAAACCAACACAGCAGGCTGTTATATTCTGTCATTGGAGAGATAAAGATGAATAAGACCTTCTGTCTTTCTAAAATCCACAATCACAGCAGAAGGCTGACATTCTTTTCCTCTAAATATTTTCTTATTGGTCTAGGGACCCACTTTGAAATCCTAGTGGCACCATAAACATTTGAAGGGGCAGAAGCTCTGATCCCCGTTGGCCATAACTGCCCCTTTTCCTGATTCCTCACCTTTTATCCTTGAACTTGGTGACAAGCAGCACTTGCCCTTTAGGACCAAAAGTTAGAGAAGTTCCTTGCAAGTGGTCTATGCAACCTGGGGGATTAATGATTAAAACTCCCCATGTTCTGAGACAATGTGGTGCATAAATGAGAGGTCTTGTCATTGGATCTCGTAGAAACCGCAGAAAAAAGGGTTAGGATGAGAGCGTTAAAGTGTCTGGGATGAACCTAGGTTGTGCCCAAATCTTGGCTGAATGGGACTGTCAAGGTGGAGAAGCATGCACCCAGCCTTCCCACTGCTGGACTAAGCAGCCAGGAGGCCGCCCGCTGGCGGGAAGGGACCTGGAAACCTCAGAGCGCAGCAGAGACAGAAGAGCCTTGTTCCAAAGTCCGAGGGCTTTTTCCCCCCTCCCAGGGGTCAGACATCGCCCCCCGCCCCCCCCCCCCCTCCTGGACTCCACATTGCCCTGTCTCTCCCGCGGATTCTCAGTCCCGGCTCTGAAAGCGTTAATCCCGGAGCTGTTGGTACCACACTCTATCCCCCACCCCTCCCCGCCTCCCCCGCTCCCGCTCCCGCCCTAGGTTCCTAAAAAAAGGTGCAGAGTTTTGACCAGATAGGGTATGAATGATCAAAGCCAAGTCGATACTTCCTGTTGCAACACTATATATATCATGATGACTGCACGGGCTGCGGAGACGCACCGAAGCGCTTGCCCCGCTGCCGCCACCCAGCGCCTGAGGTTTCCCCGGGACCACAATGAACAAGTTGCTGTGCTGCGCGCTCGTGGTAAGTCCCTGGCCCAGGGTAAGCGGGCACAGGACCCTGGCAGCTGGGGTGGCTGCCCCCTCTCCTGGCTTCTGTACTCCCCGCGGATGGATGGATGGAGGGATGGATGGGGTGGAAGCTCAACTCCATCCCTCTCCCCGGAGAGACTGGGGGTCAGCTTGGAACAGGAGACCTCTTTAAAGCTAACCATGCTTCCAGGGCGTCCTTTTACACTGGAAAGTTCCTGCTGGGTTATGGAGAAGGGAGAGGAGCTCTAGACCTTTCGTGTTTGAATGACTTTTACCCATTTTAATTGCTGTCTTCATCTCAAATAATTAACGCCCCCGTGTAGTTCATACCATCTTTGCCTATAACTCGGCCATTCTTATTATTACCAATAAAGTACTCCCTTAGAATCAGAGTAAGTTGGGAGGATATGTCAGTCTATTGAAAACTATCATAATTAGAAAAAACTTTGGATACAGTTATATGACAGATAGAACATTAGGCTCATTCTCCACTTAAGCAATGTTATGGCAAATTTTGAATAATTGGCACAAAAGAAAAGTTCACACACACACACACACACACACACACACACTTTGTAACTGTGCAATTTAATATTCTAATATAATTTTATTATTGGAAATGGCTTATTCCAGTCCTCAATTCCAATATAATGGGAGAAATATTAGTGGGCTAATGTTAATTATGTTCTAAGTATATTTAAATAATTGAAATTGAGCACTACATAGGGCTAAAAGTTAATTTTAACATACTATTTGGAGAAAAATAGAATCTCTGTGACTTGATTTACCTCCTTTAAAAAAAAAAAAGATATTTGACCAGTTAAGTTAATAAGATTTGAAGACTATTCTATGACCAGTGACTCACTTCCTTTATGTCACTAAAGTGAGAAATCAATTAAGATATGAATCATTCATTCACAAAAGGTTAGGAAAACCTATATTTAAACTACATATTGTTTTTGAATCTGTTGGCATGAATGCTTGCATTTCAACATCCAACCCACAGTGAATGGGACCCTAAGATGTTTTCCAATTAGTGTCTGGGATACACAAATATAAATAAACAAATAAGTAAATAAATAGCGAAGTCACTAAAGAAAAAGGAGGTTGGTCAGGAGTCCACATAAAGGTTTGCTAATTTTACCTACTGCCATGTATTTATATCCACCCATATGGATACGATGGGGAACTTTTTAAAAGTAAACCTTTATTAAAATATAGCACACAGCGAGAATTATACAAGTCATACATAATGCCCAATGAAGTGTCTCACAGTGAACACTTGTGAGTTAGCACCCGGATCAAGCAGCACTATGTTACCAGCACCCCAGAAGTTCCTGAGTTTTCTCCCCATCACTATTATGTCTAGGGACTGAGTCATCGATATTCTGACTTCTAACACCTTAGATGAGTTTTGCTTGTGTTTGAACTTTACATAAATGGACCATATGCATTTTTTTTAAATGTCTGGCTACTTTCACTTAAAGTTTTATTTGTGAGACCATCTCTATTATTAGATAACAGTAGTTTGTCCATTTTTATTGCTGTATAGTATTCCATTGTATGGGCACACCACAATTGATTTTCTCATTCTACTTTTTGGCTACTAGTGTAAGTAATCCTACTATTAATATGAGCACACTTTCATTTTTCCTAGCAGTTAATATCCTGTTAAAGATTTAATCACTGACATACATATTGTCAATTACTTAAATTTCAGAATATCCACTAAATTATATCCATTTTAATTATTGTCTTTATCTCAAATAATTAACACCCTCATGCATATATTTATATATAGGGTGTCCCCAAAATGTATACATACTTAACAGCAGAGAGCCCAATTAATGTTTCTTTCTTTTCAGATTTAACCCATTAGAATTAATAATTATTCAAAGTATGTATACATTTTTTGGGACATCCCATACATACCTAATAATATGTTCATAAATAATATGTAGATAAATGTTTTTATATGTGGTCTGTATAGGAAGATAAACATATATGTAGATAATACTGATTATAGATGGTACAGCATTATCAAAAGAGAAAACTTTGTGTCTTGAACATAATAAATACCTTAAATAAAAGAAAAGTCTTCCCTTTCCCTTTCTGTAGATTTTGAGATTGACTTTATTTTATAAATGATTGGAAATGGATAGTTGGTACTTAGATATAAAGAGCCCAGTTACCCTTTAGCAAATACTGAGGTGCAGTTCTAGGATCTGGAAGCATTACAGATATTTCATACTTTGTACCAGACATGCCACTGGTCACTAGGTTCAGGGGTAAAACAAGATGGGCACCCTTTCTGTGTCCATATACCTCTCAGCCTATGGAGAAGCAGATATTGGACAACAAATGGGTAAGTGGTGGGTAACAAATGGGTAACTTGGGAACAGAAAAGATCCTGTCCGCCAGGACTTATAAGGGGAGTTGCAATGTGGTGGTTATCAGGTGGACCCAAATGAAATACCAGTACCACCACTTGATAAATTACAGTAGGCAAGTCACATCTCTTTTGAGTTTTAGTTTTCACTTCTGGAAAATAGAGATGATGATAATGCATGCATGCTATAGGACCACATAAAGTTGTGGCTTTATACTGATCCCAACTTCTAGCATTCAGTGAATTGTGTATATGAAGTGTTGATGATGCTCTAAGGGCCACTAAACATTACCTTGAAGGAGGAGTAGAATGTTTCATTGTTAGAGATAAACTCAAGGTGTCCTAAAACCTAAGGAGTAGGAGAAATGAAATTCTGTGGTCAAGTGGAGTTCTAGACTCTTTTATGGGAGCTGAGGGTATGCTGGTAGGCGGCAGTGAGGGGATGTGATCACTGAGGTTACTGCCATGGTTCTGGGCTTTCTGGAATGTGCACTAACGGAAGTCAGCAGAGAATCTCTCTGCAAGGTGAGGCAGTCACATCACCAAGTCATTTCTTTCATGGTTGCCCCGGGACCACTGGGAATCCCAACCTCAGCCTAGATTTTAACTGGTGCCTGAAACTTTCCATCATAAGTGCCAGAATCATCCGTTGGCCTTCTCAGTGCCAAGCTCTGAATTAATGTTATGATAATAGGACTTGGGGGAGGCAGGAGAAGGGGAAGGGGACAACTGCCTGATCTTTGATCCTCCTTTATTATAATACTCTTTCAGATTTTTGGTTGTTTTGTGGTTGTTTACTTTGGTTTCCTCCCCCCGCCCACACACACCCCTCTTGAGTGTGTGGATGTTTCTCTAGCCTATTTATTTGTTTATTTATTTATTTTAAGAGAATGGTCCCTGTGAAGTTTCTAGGAGAATCTGACATATACTCAGTTCAAAACAGCCCTGATCCCTGTCCCTAGCAAACTTCCTGGCCTCTGTCGCCTAGCAACCTTCAGTACAGTTCCTAATTTCAATGTGGTCTTTAATTTTATTTCTTAGGCTTAAACCACAGTTGTCAAATTCCACGGGTTCGGAAGAAGGCATTCTGTGCCAGATGTTTTATCCACTTTGGTCTAGAAGGGGAGCTATGGCAGTCTCTATCAAGGGAACACTAAACACACATTCAAATATTCTTACTCCCCTAGTCACTGACTTGCCTCCTGGGTTTTCCTTTAAGCAACCCTCAGCCCCCTGCCTGCAAGTTCCCTTTTCTGAAAGCTTTCTGTGAAAAGCATTATTCCCATTAGCATCTCATTAACCAACAGCATTTCCTTTAGCTTGAGTTTCTCCTTTGTAGAAAAAAAAAAAAAAAAAAAAAAAAAAAGGACTGGGAAGTAGATTGAAAAAAAAAGGCTTATTTATGTTTATATTATTCAAGGCCTTGACTAAGGGTGCTTGGCTTGGCTGTCCCTTATGTTGTTACTATACAGCAGAGATGCCAAGTTTATCAGTGAATTTGTATATTTTACCTTGGAGGACAGTATTTCTCACTCATATTACACTTCTTCCAAGGACTTTTAAAGTAAATCCTTTGTAACAACTTCCTTGCCCTCCTGAAATGAAATTTAGAGTGCACATATTTTACCTATATACATAATTTTTGAACCTCACTACACCAGCATAACTATACTATAAAGGAGAAATAAAAGGACAGTCATTTATAAAATAAGCTTCACAAGAAGACACGATGAAATAGTGATCTGTTGGCAGCTTTATGTACAATTGTCATGAACAGACCATTAGGAACAAAGACTGCAGCACGTGTCTCACTGGGGCTCAAAGCCATGATCAACGTTGGCTTTGGTGCTATGATTTTCTGAGATGATGAATAAATCTTGCTAAAGTTTTAAACAAAACTAAAGTAGCTTCTATCAAATTTTATCTTGTTGAATTTTGGGAAAATTCAGTATTTATAGAAAGCATGCAAAAACCAGTTTGTGTCTATATAAAATGGAATTGGAATCTAAGCTCAGTTAATGAGAAACAGGTTTGTAAATAGGACATTTGAAAGTATGTGAGACATGGGCTCATTTTTAAAAATGTTTTTTAGAGAAATAGCAAGTGGGGGAGAGAGATAGATAGATAGATAGGGAATCATCAATTTGTTGTTCCTTTTATTTCTACTTATTTATGCATTCGTTGGTTGATTCTTGTATGTGCTTTGACTGGATCAAACCTGTAACCTTAGCATATGGGGATGATGCTCTATTGGGATGACATGGGCTTAGTCTTGATCATTCAGGACACCTAGCAAAACACAGCCCTCTTAACAACAGAAATCCCCCACAAATTTGCAGAACTTTCAGGGGATAATGCCATTCCTATAGCAAGCCAAGTATGAGCTCTTTGCAAATACTGATTTCCATCTTCTTCATATTTATACCACATCCCCCACCCCAGGTCTTCACAGTACCTAACACTAAATGTTTGCTGAGTCAAAGGAGCTATGGCGAGATTTGTTAGTGTGTTGTATAACCTACCAGCAGTTTCCATGGATGTTCCCACACAATTTAGTTTACTGCCCAAGACTTAACATTCTAATGTTGGCTTTGATCTTTTTC